ATGCTGACTCTGTAAACCGCTTAGAGAGGGCTGGAAGCCCTATGAAGCGGTATATAAGTCTAACTGCTAACTGCTATTCTAGTTTTCCTCAGCCTGGTTGTTTCCTATTTCTCACCATACCGCTAGTTTTCCATATCTAAATAATAGATCTGTGCACACAAATAGGGCTTTGTGCTACATGACTAAATTATGTTTGAAAAGATCTTCAGTGTTTATGTCCTATGATCCACTTTGTGACCTTATGAGAAAGTGAATGGCTGTTTTTTCTCAATGGAATACCCAGTACGTCTCGAATTATGACCACCATTGTGATGATCAGAATTTCACTTGCTGAATAAAGTTGTTGTTACAAGAGTTGCACCTGATTTTACAACGGTTTTTTTGCTATGGTTATTAACTGAATCACTGCAGTTGTTAAAGTGAATCAATCAGTTGATAAGTAAATCTGGCTTCCCCAACTGACTTTACTTGTTGGAAACTATTTGGGAAAGCTGCAAATGGCAATTACAAATAGTCCTTGACTTACGACCACAATTGAGCCCAAACCTTTTGTTGTTAAGCGAGACATTTGTTAAGTAAGCTTTGTCCCACTTTATGACCTTTCTTGCCACAGTTGTTAAGTGAATCACTGCAGTTGGTAAGTTAGTAACCTGATTGTTAAGTGAATCTGGCTTCCCCCCCAACTTGCCAGAAGGTCACAAAACATGACCTTGGGACGCAGCGATCGTCATAAGTATGAGCCAGTTGCCAAGCAGCTGAATTTTGATCAGATGATCAAGGGTCAAAGATCATAACTGTAAAAATGGCCGTAAGTCACCTTTTTCAGTGCCGCTGTAACTTCCAACAGTTGCTAAACAAAATGATTGCAAAATGAGGATTTACCTGCATGTTTCTCTGATATAATTTGGTTCAAGGCAACTCATTTGAACACAGACGGATTTGGTCTTTCTTCAATTCTAGGAACTCTGTGCACCGTATTGGCAAGAAGACAAAATGACATATGATAATATCACCGTTGAACTAAAAGACACCAGCCGCAGCCCCAGTTACACCACGCGGGCCTTCGACATAAGTCACGTAAAGGTAAGCGGACCAATTCTTCATCCTCATCTATCTTGTCTCTGGCTTCTCTGCACTTCTAAAGTTTTATCTTCCACTTCCTTTGGTGTCCCTCTTTCTTTCTACATTTTATTAACATCACAAAGCAATTCTGGGTTTATTTTAAATGCTACAACGCTATAGATATTTTCAAACATTGAACTGATGGAGATATATAAACAATATTGAACTGATGGAGATACATAAGAGCCGAGGTGGCGTAGTGGTTAGGGTGCAGTACTGCAGGCCACTTCAGCTGACTGTTATCTGCAGTTCAGCGGTTCAAATCTCACCGGCTCNGGAGTGAACTCCTGTTAGTTGTCCCAGCTTCTGCCAACCTAGCACTTCAAAAACATGTAAAAATGCAAGTAAAAAAATAGGAACCACCTTTGGTGGGAAGGTAACAGGGTTTGGTGCGCCTTCAGCGTTTACTCATGCCAACCACATGACCAGGGAGACGTCTTAGGACAGCGCTGGCTCTTCGGCTTTGAAACGGAGATGAGCACCGCCCTCTAGAGTCAGGAATGACTAGCACATATGTGCGAGGGGAACCTTTATATTTATCAACTTTTAAGTGATGTCAGGCAGTGATTTATCTTTCATTTCTTTCCTTTAATTTATCGTGTATTCAATTTATCTGTATTGGTATATGTTACTCCCTGCATATTTTCATACTATTGGTTTCTAATTTTTATTTTTTTTAAATTATTGAACAGAGTTACTGGGTTCAAAATGGAATTATAGCAACACAAGGACCACTTCCAGAAACAATAGGTGACTTCTGGAACATGGTTTATCAAAAGAAAGTCAAAGTTATTGTGATGCTGACAGACAATCAGGTGAGCAAATTTATTTCTCCATAGTCAGACCGTGATGTTTCTGTTATGGAAAAATGCCAATTTCAATTTTCTAAACCAAACCCTGTAGAAATACCCTTACTTGAAAGCATATCCATTAGGAAACAAAATATACCGATTGTATCTAGGCTTAGTGGCACCTACTCCTAGGTGGAAAGATGTGATTGTAAGTATTTAAGTATTTTTATTTATCAAGAAATATGTGTTTAGAAAAAGATATTCAGTATGTTATAATGTTGAGTTCATATACTAGTTTTAAAAAATGCAAACTTGGGTTAATTTAAAAAACTAAACAAACTTCTCCCTAAATATCATCCACAATTCAAAATGAAATATTCTGGAGATATCCGGCCTTTCACATTTGCATTAGTATTTACAAGAATTTGTGAAAGAAGCATCCATAAATTTCATCAAGGCAATTCATTTCTAGAGCCGAGGTGGCGCAGTGGTTAAATGCAGCACTGCAGGCCACTTCAGCTGACTGCAGTTCTGCAGTTC